ATGTGTAAGTGAATCTGTGTTATGCAATAATGCTCATGGAGGTCAGAAGGCATCAGATCCTTCCTTCCTAGAATGGGATTTACAGAAGGCATCAAATCCCATCCTTCCTGGAATGGGATTTACAGATGGTTGTTAGCCACCATATGGGGGCTGGGTATCAAATCTGGTCATCTATGAGAGCAGTCAGTGCTCTTAACTGCTGAGCCATCTCTCCAGCCCCAAGAGATTATCTCATTAAGGGGAGAGCTTATTTTATTTTATATCTCCAGGGTCACAGTTCATCACTGAGGGAGCCCAAGGTAGGAAATCAGGACAGGAACATGAAGCCAGGACCTGGAGCACAGGCCATGGGGCAATGTTGCTTACTGACTTGCTCCCCTGAACCATGCTCAGCCTGCTTTCTTACATAGTACAGAATAACCTGCCCAGGAGTGGCACTGCCCACAGGGGGCTGGGCCATCCAACATCACTCAATAATCAAGAAAATGCCCCATAAACAGATCCACAGGCCAATCCAATGGAGGAAATTCCCCAACTGAGGCTCCCTCCACCCACGTGTCAAGTTGACAACTAAAGCTATCCAACACACTTGACCCCTTGTCAACTTGACACACAAATATATCACTATTAAAGCACACCCTTTCCATTTCTTGTCCCCAAGATATGATGTTAACATCAATATCACAACATAAGACAGTACAGCCTTAAAAGTCCCACAGCCCTTAATAGATCCAAACACTAAAAATCCAGTCTTTTTAAAAAATCTCTTAACTGTGGGTTCCTATAAAATCCAAAACAAATACTGTCTTATTTCAAAAGAGAGGAACTGGGCACACTAAGCAAAACCAAAGTCCAGCAAAGTAGCTCCAGGCTGGACTGGGATTCACTCATGACCTTCTGGGCTTCAAAGGGTTTTGGCAGCTCCACTTTTCTGATTCTGCCATCCACAGCACACACAGTTGATCTTGCAGACCCAAGCCATCTGCATTCTGCTACTTTAGTGGTCGTCCCATGGTCCTGGTATCTCCATGAAGCTTGGATTTCCACTTAAACTGAGGCTGCACCCTCACCAATAGCTTCTTCTGGCATCTTGGGCTGCAAGGCCTCAGATTCTCTCCATGATGCCGTCAATCATGGCGTCTTCACTGCAGCTAAGGCTACACTTTCACCAATGGCTTTTCCTTGCCTCTGAGGGTGCTAAGCTGCAACTTCTTTCTTTAACTACCAGAACTATGCAGGAGACTCTTACCCATTACCTTAACGAGTCCTGCTTCCAGCTTCAGAGGGAGACTCAGAGGTCCCTTCTAGACCATAACTTCTGTGTGCTAACCCTAAAAAAATACTTCACAGAATATTTTGCCACAGTGATGCTGGTCTCTTGTTACTTACAGCTGATTTTTTTTCAGCACCAGATAACCAGGATTAATTGTTCCAGTAAAACAAAGGTTTCTACTTAATCACAGCTGATTCCTCAGCCTATGGTGACCAGAACCCAGAGTCTCAATTCAAGATTTCATACAAACAGCACTGATATTCTCTGTTTCCCTTTGAAGATTCACAAGCCAGGCCTCCATCATACAGTTACTCTTTCAGTGTAACTGTTCCAAGCTCCACAGAAACAAACTCTAAGCACTTGACTTTTCCAGCCCAGAGTTCCAAATGCTTTTACAATTCTCCTCAAAACACCATCAGGTCTGTCACAGCAATACCCCACTCTCTTTTACCAAATTCTGTTCTAGTTCGTTTATCCATTGCTGTGACAAAGTACTCTGACCAATACCAACTTGGGGAGGAAAGGGTTTATTTAGTTTTCATCTCTCCAGTCACAGTCCATCAGGGAGCCCAAGGTGGGAACTCAGGGCAGAAACCTTGAGGCAGGAGCTGAAGCACAGGCCATGGAGGAACACTGCTTATGGGCTTGCTCCCCTGGCCCACGCTCAGCATGCTTTCTTACACAATACATAATAATTTACCCAGAGGTGGCACTGCCCACAGTGTGCTGGGACCTCCCACATCTCTCAAAAATCAAGAAAATACCTCACAGACATGGCCACAGGACAGTTCAATGGAGGTAATTCCCCAATTGAGGCTCCCTCTTCCCAGGTGTGTAAAGATGTATTCAATAATGCTCACATAAAGCTATCCGGAAGAGAGGGCTATGGGAGGTTGTCAGTGGGGATGGGTGTATAATTATGATGAAGAAGTTGTGTATGAAA